TATATATAATTTTTTTTTGGTTCAGGGTCTTACTGCATAGCCTACATTAGTAGCGATCCTCCTGATTTCTGCCTCCCAAGTGCTGGGATTACAGGCGCGCGCCACAGTGCTCGGACTCCATCGCCGGCTCAGCTCACCCGAAGGCAGGGCCGGCGCGGCAGGTGGAGCCAGGTATCGAACCCTGGCCCCTGCGCTTACCTAAGCAAACGCTTAGTCCACTGAGGTATACCGCCGGCCCTTGCAATTATATATTAATAACTTTCATTTGGTAGTTGTGTACACTGTATTTAAATCATTTGCCATAAAATATTGTAGCTAATTTGTCATAGTAAGTACTATGATAAATTGTGAATCCTAAGGATCATCCCCCAGGCTACAAGTCATTACACAATTTTTGAATGACCATTTAAAAAGTTTAATTGGATTTTGTGATTTAAATAAATTATATGTTATATAAAATTTACCATTTTAATCACATAATGTGAAAACATGAAATTCACATTATTGAATTACCTCACCACCATACTCTCCAGAAATTATACATCATCCAAAAAAAAAATTTTGTATAAACATCATTTCCTGACTGACTTTTCCTTGCTATCTCATAGAGTCATTTTTCTGTTGGATTAAATATTCATATTTAATAGTCATATCATATATAGAAGCATATAAAATCTATAGTTTTTTGCTTGTTTCAGTTAATATAAAGTAATTAGAATTCATGCATATATTTTAGCGTGTATCAGGATCTCACGTGATTAAAGTTGGAAATTCTTCTCTTGCAGGTACACACCATATGCACTTTAGCTAACCAAGCTTTCACGGACATTTGTCCTCAAGAAGGTACATAATTCTGTAAAGCATTACGCCCAAACAGTTGTCTCCTTCCTTTCAATTCTTCTTTGAGAAATAACAAAATTGATGAATTAGTCACATGCACATTTTTAATGTATTTCCTCACATATATTCACGTGTTTAAACAGTTTCTATGCTGAAGGTCCGATAGACAGTATAAGGTAATAGCCAGCATTCTCACACACTACCACATTCCAAGGTGCTTCCAGCTTAGCACTCCTATCACCACCCGGTACAAATTCTGAAAAAAACTTACTTAAAATGGGAAGAATGTTCTGAAGGAACTCAAAACCTAGAGAACAAATGTGGAATATTCGTGCTTTTTGTCCATGAGAGAACACAGAGTTGAAAGACATGACTGTCACTGAAGAGAACCACAAAGGGGCTGAACGTGGGGAAGCCTAAGGAGAGCAGCACAATGGTGCTCACGAGCCAGGGGCTGGGGCTCAGTGTCTGGGTTACCCACAATGACAAAATGCCAGCCAGGATATAAAAGGAGATGAACGTACTCACCAGGGTCAGCACAGTGCAGCTGGCTCTGGCCTCATGGGAAGTCCTGGGGGAGACAGTTCAGCTGTGAATGTTCCTGACACGCTGTCTGTGTCTGTACAACAGCAGGACCATGGAGCTGCTGGCCCAGAACGTGAGACTCAAGAACGTTGAATCAGTAGGGAAGTACATGGCTGCTAACAGTGTGAATGTCAGCCCGTTAGCCACAGGAGTGTAGCAGTATCTGTACATGATTGCTACACTCATGTTCCTGCTGTTCTTTGGTCCTGTTACATTCAGTATAATATGGATATTTATCAGGACACTGAGAATCCAGCAGAGAAAACAGCAAAATCCAAGATACTTTGGGGATTCTGTTTTCCTCTCCATCAAACCTGAGAAAATGGAGGAAACTGTAATGGCTTGGAAGCAACTGAATAGACAAGTGGTGCTGAGGGTAACCCCTCTGGCCACTCTGTGCAAGAAGATAAGCTTGCATCCAGTCTCATTCAGGAAATCTTCCAACCCAAAGGCAGCCATGGTCTGAGGAATCCCTTTAGAGAGCAAGACCAGGATGTTAGCTAGGAACAGCTGTATGAGAATAGCATCTATGAGTCTCAATATTTGAGCACTGAATAAGGAAACGTTATACAGGCAAAAGAGCACAGAATTTCCAAGGATTCCAACACTAGTCTGAGCAAGGTATACAACAGCCCAATTTAAATTAGCAAAAACCAATCCATCCATTTATACAAGTATTGAAATTAGATCTGGAGTAGGAGGACCTTGGGTTTGTATTATTGTTCTGATTATATCTAAAGAAAGCCTTTCTCTCTAAGCCCACTATTGCAGGAAGTATAGAAAATAGGAGCACGTGCTTGTAGAGACACAGAGAGTTCATTCAGCATTACTTGGAGCAAAGACTGGAACTGTGGTATCCTCTATAAATAGTAAATAAAGAAAAACTGAGAAGCCCACAGTGCTTGTCTGAAGAGCTGTTGTGACGAGAAGGTCCTGCAGATGCTACTCTTCCAAGTGTACTACTGCAAGGTTACAGGTTTGAATTCCATTTTGAAGGGGTAGAGAAGCAGAAAAATATATAATCATTCACTTCTTCTCTAGAGTGATTAAAAATTAAGACACAATGCTTTTACAATGGAATCATACACATTAAGATATATTTATCAGTCCTAGCCCAGGTCCCATGAGTGTGTGGAGAGCTTCCTGCTACCCTGCGCCAGCGGGACCAGTCCCAGCCCAGGCGCAGCGTGGGCCGGACCCTCTCCCAGCCCCTCGGGCCACCCGCCACCACTCCGCTGTACCTCCCAACAACTCCTGCCCAGTAGGAATTTCTGCCAACTTCTGGGAACCCCCAGACCCAGTCCTAGCCCAGGTCCACAGCAGGAAGGAGCTGAGCACAGCAGCCAGACCTAAGCCAGACGCAGCTGGATAACTCCAAACTCTATAGAGCTCCAACTTCAGTGAATGTGAAGGTTATAACTACAGCAAAGATCTACAACAAAGGGCAGAAGACAGTGCTACACAAAATGACGAGAAGGAACAAAATGCAACCTCAGAA